AAACCAGACATGAACTGGATAGAGTTCAGCGACTGGCTTGCTTAGGAATGACAGGTGCTATGAGGACAGCGCCTACTAGGGCCCTTGAGGTCCTACTAGGTCTGCCCCCTTTACATCTGATTGTAGAGCATGAAGCCATGCGCACTGCCTACAGACTCAAAGGTGCAAACCAATGGATCGAAAAGGCAGACTATGGACACTCCCTAATATGGAACAAGGCCGAAGAGAGCTGTCCCAGCCTGCTGATGGTAAGGGACAGCACTCTGCCAGTTCTGAATTTCAATAAAGCTCCGCATGTCATTTTTCCTACAAGAGAGGAATGGACTGGCAATACACCAGGCTTGCTTCCTGCCAACGAATCAACCTGGTTCACGGATGGCTCAAGGTTTGGTGGCGGGTCTGGTGCAGGAGTATATGAAGGAGGAACAGGGAAAGGAATCTCAGTACCTCTTGGTAAATACGCTTCAGTGTTCCAGGCCGAAGTGTTTGCAATTCTGACGTGTGTCCAAGAAAATTTCGGCAGAAGTGGACGTGGACCAGTCACCATATGCTCGGACAGTAAAGCTGCTATTATGGCATTGAGATCCAATAGGATCACAACTAAATTGGTGTCTGAGTGCAGAAGTGCCTTAGAAAATATGGCAAAAACTAGGAAAGTCAGCCTCATGTGGGTTCCAGGACACTCTGGTATCCCGGGGAACGAGGAGGCAGACAGATTAGCCAAGATCGGTTCAGGAACGACACCCATTGGACCAGAACCGATATTGGGAATACCCAATAGTACGGCTATGTCCTTCATGAAGGAAATGCTACAGAGGCAGTTCCTTGAAACATGGTGGGACACACCAGGAATGAGACAATCAAAGCTCCATATAAAGGAACCTTCAAAAAGGCTCACGTGAGAGATCCTGTCACTTAATAGAAGGGATCTCAAGATGGTAGTTGGGCTCTTAACTGGGCACAACCACCTCAACAGGCACCTAGAACTCATAGGGATCAAAGATGATCCCATCTGCAGATGGTGCTTGGAGGATGATGAAACATCATCACACATACTCACTGAATGCCCCGCGCTGGTGCATCAGAGGAAAGCTGCCTTTGGGAGCATTGTACTGCACCCAAAGGATGTGAAAGTGACTCAGCTGAGGAAGCTGCTGAATTTCGTCAAAGAAATCGGCATGCCCAGCTGATTTACAGGACAAGTGGGCGCACAATGGGCCCGACTGAAGAGGCCTGAGTGCAGGGGTCTATGCACCCGCCCACCTGTGCAGAGAAGAAGAAGAAGAAGAGCCAGATCGCCAACTTTCCTACGGTGTTCCAGAGAAGTGAGTGAGTTTGTGAGCGAGGCATCACCCACGAGACGAATTGCCCTCTTTTGGACAGAATTCAACAGTTTTAGGGTATGTTTGGGTGCTACACTCCAAATATGGGAACAGTATTCCAGGACAGGTCGGATCTGTGCCTTATAGATCATAAGCAGCTGACTGGAAGTGAAATAGCTCGCCCGAAACAGTTTTTGGGATGCACTTTCAGCAAATTGATCCCACGTGATTTTCCCAAGAAAGGTTATTGCTGATTGTAATACCAAGCATCGAAATGGATGTCTTCAAAGGTATGGGTACTCCTGACAAGCCTAAGTTGGACACTGTGACATCGGCTTTTCTAGAGAGAAGGCATGTTTGTGTTTTGTTTGCATTGAAATCTACCAAGTTATTGGATCCCCATTCGAGAATTGTTGCCAAGTTCATATTTATGTTGTCAACTTTTCTTCCTCGTTCGTTTCTGATTTGCCTGGCTGGTATTGGAGCCCTGAAAGAGAAGGCGGTATGGAGGGTACTATCATCCGCGAAGCTGTGTACTGGACATGAAGTTGCTTCCAACAAATCGTTGATATGGAGTAGAAATATTGTTGGTGTTAGAATTGATCCTTGCGGAACACCAGCATAAAAATATACCTTACACTCAGCTATTCAAATCCCCTCTGCCGAATTTGCATTTGCAGTTTTCCTTTTCCTGTTATAAGCCAAGGGCAGGAAGTTTGAATCACCCTGTACATATACGGGTGTTTCAAAATTCAGTATAAGGATTTCAGGGGCCAGTGGCGTACCCAGAAGTGTACATTTGGGGGGGATTTACATTTTTTTAACCAGATTTTCATTTCAATTTTGAGCATTACAGAATAAAATCTAAGTGCTTTGCTTTTTGATTTCCAAACATTTATTCAATTCTCCTACATGAGTTACAGGGTTGTTTCATTTGAAAATTCAAAATTTATTTATGCTCAGTACTTTGAAACAAATTGACGTATCATTGTAATTTTTGATGGGAGTTGTAGATAAATACTATACACCCTACAAAGTTATGTAAAATGAACGTTTATGGCTACTACCAGAGGCGTACGGCAGGGGCAAGTGACTTCCCAAATTCTACACCATGCACTCTGGCGGAATTTCCTTTCATTTTCGATTCTCCAATATTTTCTACGTGAATATCGTACTATTTCTTCAAATCGATGAGGTCATTATATTTTTCGACTTAAACATCATCATAAAGTTATTTTGATTTTGATGTCTATCAATTATGTCGAAGTTTTGGATCATTGAATTCCATTCATTACGCAAATGGAACTTAAATCCATATTAACAAAAAACAATATTTATAACAATTTGAATATAATTAATATTGAAACACACATATACACGAGCACGAGATACATTTTATCTAAGCGATTTGAGTTAAATCTTCATGTTTTGAGTTCAGGATTTTAGAGATGAAATATTTCCATTTTCTTATCTCTTGGAGCGCACGAAAGGAAATTCTTATGATGTTCGAAGAACATCGTGCCTACTTAGGGAGGATAGGGAGAGGAGGTATAGGGGTATAGGTATATATGGTTAGATTTTTTTTTACTTTTGGGGGTTATAGCTTCTTGATGGGAATACTTCATTGGCAAAGATTTTCAAAGCTTTGCTTTTTGCGGAGTTTCTATTCAGCTATAAGGAGAAATCATTTCCATCAATGATGATGTTGAAGCCACTCTGTCATCATCGTTGATTTGAGCATGCGCAAGCTAGTCTCACGACACGAAACCCTTATAGAAATAAAAAGATAATACGTGAAGAAAAGTGGTGTCATTCTATCGGCATATGCGTGGGAGGATATATCCCCCTTATACCCCCGCAGGTACACCGCTGAGGGACTCAGAAGAAGTAATAAGACTTTTCTTTTTTATAAAGATGTATCCGCAAACGATTCGTTGCCGAATGCCGATCTAGAGAGCTTTAAAATTTCAAGTTTTTTTTCTTCATATAGCTCTTCAATAAGTTTATGCGACCGTTGTCAAGACAAAAATATTTTTTTTTATAATTAATAATAAAAATAACGCTGCATTTATTAACTCTGTGATCTTGATTACAAGTTTCAAAACATTACGAAACCTATAAAGAATCTTAAGTTTTTGTAAAAGGTGGTGACGAGAAATAAAGAAATCTTAAAACTTTAACGCTCTGTATATCGGTTGAGAAGCGTTTGCGGGCACATATTTATAGGTCTTATTTTGATCTGAAAAACGAGTCCCTAAACTTGATACTGAATTTTGAAACACCCTGTATATTATAATTATCCTGCCCTCTGTTAATTATTAGCAGGAGACAAAAGCTAACTTGAATGATCATAAACACAAAGTACTGTTCAGCTACATATTGATAACTGATAATGGTAAAGAAAATAGTTGGATTTAGATATACAGAGGTGTTGCCACAAATTTGTCAGATATGTAGGTACGTGTGAAGCGTTTGGATAGAACAGGAGCAAGTTATGATCTAAGTACTTGGAGAAACATTCTCTGAATGATAATAATTAATATGAATACGAGTATGAAGAAACTTTATCTGTTAAGATATTATTTCCATATAAAGTTACAAATTTCACCTTCTTATCCCCCTGTCTTCTGGATCGCATTTAGAACAATTTGCCAATTTCAATGACACAATTCTTTATTTATATGTGTCAACTAGAAATATGATTTTCTTGCGATTTATCCATATTTAGTGAGAAGAAGGAAGAATATCATTTAAAATAATGGCGTGTGTAATATGTCATTCAAAAATCATTTTCGCAAGAGAAATATCTGTTGACATTTAACATCTCGTATTTAGATTGACAATTGATTAAATGGTCGTCATCTGGTATGATGGTTCACTAAATATGAAAAACTCGCCATAAAAATCATATTTCTTGTTGAATTTTCTATATAAAAATGTGTCATTGAAGTGCATCATGAGTATATAAAAGTCCAACAAATGGGGAAAATAGACGGCGAAATTTCGAACTTTTTCATGAAATATCTCGATAAATAGTGGTTTGTTCAAATTTTCAGAAAAAAAATACATAAGTTCCAAATGCAGTTTTACCGAAACTTATTACCAAAAATAATAATATACTTACAAACATTTACGCTTTCAAATTTTGACCACTTTTCACATTCTTCATAATGATAAATTAACTCCAACCGCCGCGTCGTTAACATACGCTAGCGTCATCTGGTCTTGGTCGTTCAAGGTTGAATTGAAGAATTTTGCCAGGCAACTAGATCAACATCAACAAAAATAGAAACCTTCAGGGGTGTTTTCTATGGTGTACATTTAAAACCATTGCAGAAACGCATAAGAACTCTGTAGAATGCGCTAGTGCTACTGTTCAATAGATGACGCTATTTCAAGTAATCTGCAAGGTTGGTAGAATCGATGATTCATTTGTTTTGCTACCAACCTTGGTAATCTGGGATGTGAAGATATATCATCTGACACTGTAATTCAAGAGGTTGTTCCTTATCCTTACATCAGAGATCATTCATCACTTCATCAGAGATCAGTCACCCACTGATCTCTGCTTACATCATCCCTGTGGTTGTTACCTGTGTAATCTCTATCTCTACCCAAGGAGAGTATACATCTCTATCTCTACCTACCTCACATACCTGTGTTGACATGTCATGTCTTGTGTCAACACTGTCAGCCAACCTGTCACCGACTTAGAGACTTACCGACCTCCTTAAAAATAACAGATTTCGGTTTCCTGAACAACTAGAACAATTTACATCACTTCCAATCCACTATAATCTAGTCTAAATTTAAGTACTGCCTGAAATTTGGTGTGCTGTTTTTTTTTTATTAAATTAATTTTAATTCATCACAAAGGTAAAGGTGCTGTGCTGGTGTATGTGAAAGATCAAAATTTGTATTCATGTTATCTCTGTTCATCATCCGTTTTCTACACATTCCATCACGAATTTGAATAATAATAATTATTACTCATAATATTTTAATCAGGCAACGATGTGGATGCCCACACATGTTCAAGTTACTGGTAGGTACTTACTGAATCAAATGAAGTTACCTTTTTATTATTATTTTGAAAATGTTTATATTTATATAAAACTTATAAATATTTTCACTTTTTGTTTTAAGTTCAGAGAGCCGAGGGTCTACTCCTCAAGGGTAAAAATAATACCAATGACTGCTTTGTCACAATTGCTTTGGGGAAAACAAAGTATCAGACTTCAGTAAAAGAAAAGTCTCCTCAACAAGTTGAATGGCATGAAGAATGTGAACTGTAAGTAATTGACCTATTTTTACCTTCAATTTTTTCTTTGATTCAAATAAGAATGCATCTGCTTTTCTAAAGAAATCCTGAATACCTATCTTTTTGGAGAAATAATTATGCTTTGGCTCTCTAAATATCTTGACTTTTTCCATTCAAAATATGGATGGCCCTTGAGCTTCATGTAATCAAACTTTGTAGGATAATCAGAGGAAACAGTTGCTTACATCTTAATTATCATGATTTTTTTTATCATGATTTTTTTTATCTTGGGTGAAATTCAAGCTTGATATGACTAAATGCAACTCTGGTCAATTTGTTTCAAATTCTTGAAATTGCTTGAAATTCTTTGGTATTCTATTCCTGTTTTTTTGCAGTTACTTAATTATGACAAACAGATGTTTATGTATATTTTCTACTTTTACACAAATACTATTCATTGATTATATTGGTTTTGGTTTGAAAGAGTTTGTAAGTAACTATTTAAGTAATTGAGAGACAAAACACAATATGCCCAGTAAAAATGCAGGTTGAATAGCTATATCAAATTCATTTGGTGTATTTTGATAACCAATGTAGAACAAAATTGGTGTCCCATCTGTGAGAAGTGCATTCATTTGAGGTTTTGTGAAAAAATATTAGGAACAGATAGTAGGGTTATCATTATTTGTCAATATTATTCATTATGCAATATTATGCTTGTATCATCTTGTATCAATACCTTAAACATCATGTTTACATGTATTGATGATAATGTCTAAAAAATTCGATCTTGTTATATCAAGATTTTGAGGATTTTTTAGGGTTTTCAGCTTCAATGTTGAATTCTATATATGCTATTTATATTCCAGGATTATCCCTAATCTAATGCAAATATTTGAAGGAAACAAATATTTAACTTCACCTAAATTGTTCACATGCTAACAAGTTTGGTTGATGACTCATTATTATACTGTTTCAAATTAATTCCTATTTCAGACATATTGATTATCTTTCTCAGGAACATAATTTTCATTGGTGATAACTGAAACACTGATAGCTGACATTCAAATAATGAACGTGTGATCATTTAGATATGATAAGATTTCTTTGTTCTTCAGAAACAGTTTTGAGGTCAGCATTTTTTAACGAATTTCTTTCAAGGAATCTAATTTTTCATACATTGTATTCATATCTGACACCCAGGCAGTTACACAACAAACAATAGACAGTGGGAAATTCAGAATAATGATTATAAACAGCTATAATCATCATTTGACTTGCTGATGTTGTTCAATGAAGTTGGCACTCCCTCATGATTCCTCATGTTTGTATTATTAAAATTGTATTATCATTCCTAATACATATTTTCATTTACTATTATCACAGTTAAATATCAGGTAATTGCTATTTTTATGATATCTTTGTTATTGAAAACAATTTCAGTCAAGTTCAGAGTCAGGTTCTTCAAATTTATTGAAAATGAATCATGAGATTGATAACTCGGAATTTTTGAGAATTATGATATGGATGCTTCTTTATCTGGTGAAATTCATAACAATTGACTTATTCACCCTCAATAACTCCTAGAATAAATACTTTACTCAAAAAGTTTTATTCAAAGGGAGATATTAACACAAAGAAGGTATTCCAGGATGGTATTTCTCCACATTTTTTATGTTGTTCAGTCCTCTGGATAAAGTGAAATAAATGGACATAATTGGATAAAGTACTCAAATTTGACAAAATCATAAAAACATTTAGTACATTAAAAATAATAAATGCAAACCATCTGAATTAGATGTTAGGAGGGGCCAATTGTCTCGATGGTAATGGCCAATGTCAAGTCAATATGGTAATTTGAGATGAATTTCAATGCATTGGGTAAATTCGAACATTGGACTATTTATTCCAATTTTTTCTTGTCTTGAACTAAATATTCAAGTATTTTTCCAACATCTTATTTCTTTTTTTGTGCCTTAAGGGAACAGTTGAGTCAAAACATTATTATTCATTCAAGGGTGAGAATAAAATTGATTCATTTTTCAAACACAACAGGTAATTTTGCCTTTTTTCTCTTCAAATAAATAAAAAAGAGGAAGGGAACACAGAGGAATTTGTCGAATTTTTCGAGTCCAGGCAGGCCCGGATCAGCAGCTACGCCCTAGGCCAAAGTTCTAAATTACTCCCCCCTTTCAGTAGGTCTGGGGAGTGTGGATTTTTTTTGGCATATAAAACTTCAAACCTCGTTTTAGAGCTTATTTGGGATTATTGAAGCTAGGGTCCCTTGATGGAAATCGACGTTAAAGTCATCTTAACAGGGTGCCGACAGATCATACCTGCATTCTTTTTTAATGATCTAGAGATTTTAGTTTTGTCTACTGGCATCCCTGACATTGCTGTCACGTCATCCATGGGCGCTACAGAAAGTCATTCAAAATGTTAATAATACGTATGTACAGGGTATTTACTTGTTGAGGAAGATCATATGGCGAACGAGTTTTGTAATTATGATCCGATTCTATTCAAAATTGGAAAGTATCTGAGGTTTTCCGGGGATGGAGATAGTGATTGTATCGTCAAACTTGGAAAATTCAAGATGACGGATCCAATATATAGTGAAAGAAATTTCTAATTATGATCTGATTCGTTTTATAATACACACACTGGCACAATTAGGGGAACGGGCAAAATTTACACTAAGTTTGACATCAATTTTCTTTCGAACCAATCGCTCGATTCAAATTTTTTTCTTCACGAAATGTAGCTCCATTCTTCACGAATACATATGAGAAATAATTACCTTCAAAAGATGAGTCTTTCCATCATATACAGGGCTGTAAAGAAAGTACGGATTTTTCGGTATTTTTTTAGACATCCTGTGGACTGAACCACTGATAATTGAAACGATTCCTCAACACCAAATTGGAGCTCAATCTATTCCGAATATTTTCGTTTTTTATTCATCTTGATATCCCAATTATTCAAGAAAATACAGAGGTTCAAAGGAAAGGTGGATATTGGTATCAATTTTACACTTCAAAACTCAAATTGGATCTGAAAATGTGTCCTTTCTTGACTAACCTAACCTAACCATGACTAAACCTCTGCCATAGGACACAGAAGCAGTAAAATCAAATTGTTCATTTTGTTCACCTCGGCGATATAGTCTTTCCCTGCCATCTATTGAATTGGCGCAGATGCGGCTCTCATATGTCAAAAGAACATTGGCCCACTGGTCATTTTCAATTAATGCTACAGCCCTCGCCACATCAGTAGGGGTCAAATCTCTCACGTTGAATTTTCATTAATCAAAATTATGAATGGTGAATCGCTTGACTTTGACAATAATTAATGACATTAACAAAAGAGCCAACGTTGATTAACAAAAATAGCATTTCACCAAAAAAACATTGGAGCAACTTTTATCACCCCTGCATATTAAAACCGATAGGTTAAACTGTGAACAATTCTCATCTTGAAGTAAAAATCCTCACAGAAACAAGTTGAAAAACGAAACGTTCTCCCCAGTTTGAGTTTCGAGGTGGTAAAATTCTCTTCTTTGAAACTCTATATTTTCTTGGATAATTGGGATATCAAGATGAATAAAAAACGAAAATATTCGGGATAGATTGGGCTATAATTTGGTGTTGGAAAATCGTTTCAATTATCAGTGGTTCACTCCACAGGATGTCTCAAAGAATACCGAAAAATCCGTACTTTCTTTACACCCCTGTATATGATATAAAGACGAATCGTTTGGAGATGGTTATTTCTCAGATGTATTCGTGTAGAATAAAGCTACAATTCGTGAAAAACAAATTTGAATCGAGTGATAGGTTCGAGAGAAAATTGATGTCAAACTTAGTGTAAAATTTTACCCGTTCCCCTAATTGTGCCAGTGTGTGTATGTTGGATGCAAGAGTGAGTCACTCCATAAATTCTTCTCCGAGTTGGATTTCCGAAAATATATTTAGCACACATGACATGAGTGCAGTAGTTTAGATACTCACATCGAGGTTTATACTATTTCTCAATCATAAGGCTCAGCTCATTCAGCTCATAGATAAACTACTGCTCAGCTTGAAATCACAATTCATTCAGTAAATTCAGTCAACCCTGGTATACAGTCTAATAACAGTTTCTTTTGCTGAAATATATTAAGCTTTTACAGTAAGTACAATTTATATGTTCTCTACCTAGCAAAGATCATGGTGGAGTAGTAAACTCTAAAACTAGAGGATTGTTCATCTATATCTTGGTATAGTTGAATCGGGAATTCAATTTGGAAATTACGTATGATACGTCAATGACCTCAATATAACCTAAAAAACAACAAATGTCAAAAACATAGTTTTCATCCCCAGATTGGAATAAGGATGGAACTATGTAACTGTTTCACAAACACTTTAGAGTGAGAGGAGACGAGGATCTGTCCGTACCCTCAATTTCCATCAAGGGACCCTAATTGAAGCTATCAACACAATTTTATATTTAGTCCTGTTAAAATATTTTTAACTATATTCCAAGAAAAAAAATCGTATCAATGAAGCAATAAAATTCCAAAATGTATGAAAAGTATCGTCTTCGTCTGGTGACGTCGGATTTCCCCGTATCCTGCGCCCACCCCCCCCGCACGCGTGCGCCCTAGGCCATGGCCTGGGTAAATTATCATAATTCATTTATTGTTTCAAATTAACCTTCATATGGTCATTGAGGAACTTTATGTAACAAAGTATACTGTTGTATGAGTGACCCTTTGGATTGACCTATTGACAGGCGCGGCTCTAGGAATATTTCTCGGGGAGGGGAGGTTAAATTTTCAATTAGAAATAAAATTGAGTTTCATAACTTAGGAACGGTTCTGAAGTTATTTCGCAATCAATGCAAGAAATAGAAATATGGCACCTGCATATACCGGGTGTTACAGGTTCATGGAACACCAAACCATTTTCATAAAATTGATTTGGTGAAAAATCAAGAAATATGAAATTTTTCACAGGATCCAATTTTTTTAAGCATTACGCTTGTCGATATGAGTACATTCGACTGGATCAGAATAGTCATAGCACACTCAGATGGAAGATCAAAAATGATATTAAAATCAATATTGAAGTTTGAAATGTCACTTTTGTGGTATCATTGTATTCAGAAAATAATGCAGAAATCGAAAATGCGAGAATATTTATACAAAGACATGACGCTTTTCAAATTGATTGGTTATTCAAAATTTCAATCACTTCTCTCCAAAACTAAAGGAGAAAAAGAGGGTGAACCATGATCCTGTTACACCTGGTGTACTGTAATCAACATGGGGGATTTTAATATTTTAGGTGCGGTTTTGATTTATGTAAAAATGCGCCGCTGCCAACATTTCATAGTATATATTTTTTAACAAATATTTTCATTTTGTTGATTCCACAAAAATTACTTCAAAGTCACTTTCTTTCAATATCCTCTAATTCCCTTTCATCATTCATTTCTTCATTTCCAGTTTATTTCCTTCATCCATTTCCCCTTATTACCATGTATCTTCACATCCTTCAATTTCCTTCCATTTCTGTCAGTTAACCATTTACCACTGACCTTAAAAGTAGTAGAGACCTGGTATAAAATAACAAAATTTGCTAGCATATTTACTGTTCTCATTCTCATTTTATATAGGTACTCATTCAGAAAATCACTATCATTTATCTCCTTATATTTTCATCCAATCTTGAGGTTTATATTAAAATGTACTCACGTTGTTCAGAATACTGTATATATGCTCAAATTCAAATCTCTTTTTATATCTTTATGATAATAGATGAAGACATATTATTTTCATTATTAATGAAAAATTCTAGGGCCTATTTTAGCCTTTTTTTATCATTTCATAGTGTTTCTAATTATGATTCAGTTATGGAACATACAGGGGGTCTCAACGAAAACTGTCCATCCAAATAGACACGCCATATTCAGTGCAGATACAATCTAAAGATGACTTATTCCTCGACTTATTCTATAGTAGATAGTGTCTTCATTGTGAGTTTAGGGTATCATGCTTGAATTTGATGAAAACCAAATGATACATCATTGTATTCCTCATTGATTTTTTTTTTCAAATCAGATATCACACGTCCCATTATACAATTCGAAGAAGTTCCTCGTAAAAATGAGGGTATAGGTGCTGAAAGTAATATTCATAAGACTGCAAAACAACAGAGAATTTTTCATTCTTCTGAAAAAACTTGCAGGTAACATTTCAATTTTTTAAGGGCAATACCAGACCAAGGCAATACAGCAGAAATCGTTCTCACAGCATTACATCACAACTATCTTGGAATTGACGAATTTTTAGGACGTGTGGCTATACCACTAAATTCGTTGGATATATATGAACGACCCAAGAATAAATGGTTTACATTGCAGAGCAAACCAGGTGAATTTTGAAGAAATTATAACTTGTATAGTAGTTCCAAGCACCAGTGAATTTAACCCTTGAATTCCCATGCCATCGAAATCAACGTAAACACCCATGCGGGGTCCTTCAGAGACCCCAGCTGAATATATGATTTGTAATCATTTTTTTTTCAAATTTATCAATCAAATAAGCGTAGGGAAGAACAAAATCATACTCCAGACATCACATGAAACTTTATTGGATATTTATGAGAATAAAATAAAAAATAGAATCTAAACAGTCTTCTCAAGAAGTATCGCTCTCATAGTCAGCTTCAGACTCAAAATCCATATTCTCGGCTATTTCCTCTATCTCACGTCGTGTAAGGGGTCGCTTTCTATGAGAATCACTCATTTTCATATCTTTGAAAAATGAAGAAGTGAAAAAATATACAGCATACTGAAGAAAAAAAAGGGGAACGTAAATACCCGTGCGGGGTAACGGCAGGACCCCACTCACCTAAATCACGTGTAACTTCAATTCACTCGCTCCGAAATGTGGTCGCATACTGAATAATACTCACAAACGCCAAAACAAACACATACCTAGCCGCGGTGTTGCCAGAGTGTTCAGATAAACTATTGACAGTAGGATATTTGGACTTGGGGTCCTCGAAGGACCCCGCTTGGGGGTTTAAGGGTTAACAACTAGCTTAACCCGCTTCTTGTATGATTTATACATACCATCAAATGAAGAACCCATTTTTGAAAAATCCGGAAAAATCTGGTTTATATTAAATTAATGAGTAGTAATTTCTGGATTTTTTAAATTTGTTTTTGAAAAATAGTTTTCTTTTTTATTTTTACGACAACCTACAGGATATAATGACATTATGACAAAACTTTGATTTTCAATTCTTATAATGATGAAATTTGAGAAAAAGGTGCAATTTCAAGTTGTGGCCAAAATTTGCATCTTTTCAAATGGGATGGTTTAGTTGGAAAGGATTTATTTTCTCTTTATAACCATGTATGATAAACGTCAGATTGCTTTTAGTATTTGATATCTAAAGAAAATAATATTTATCTAGATTATCTTGGGCGTTTTTTTTTTACATATTTTTTCCAAGTAAGCGGGTGTCATCTATGACAGTATTGATCCATTTGTCTGTCGATTTCATATGTATATGCTCTTTATCAATCTTACCTAAAATGAAAAAACTTTCAATCTCCACTCTTTTGAACAAAAAAACAAAATCATATCCTCCTAACGACATCACTGGAATTGGCTTCAGCTAATTATTCCACTCCAAGCTAAATAACTATACTTCTCATTCATTCTTCTCAAGATAGGTAAGTAGTAATTTACTTTCGATAAATGGAACAAGAATATTATTTTATTTTCAACACACTACTGTGTTCCGAAAACAAAAGAAGTTAAGACATGCATTTATCCAGTGGCTTGTCTTAAACTTCGTATCTGTTGAAGCTGGGACTAACAAAGAACAAAAATTTTATTATATTTGTCTTGAATATGAATCTCATTTTTTTTCTGAATAATCAAAAATAGAATATAAGGTTCCAATAATTCTACTTGAAATCACTATTATATTATTCAATATTTCCTAATCCTAATATCTTCCATGGACGCACGCTACTGAATCTATATGAACTTTTCGACTTCACATTACATTCCAAGAATAACCCATCAAAATAAGTTGATAAATAAGATTAAGACTATGTTTGGAACCTAAATTTCAAATCATTAGTCAGTGACACCTTATTTGAAAAATTATCGATGATGAATGAACAATATTCCGCCTTCACCTGTCCTGGAATACTGTTCCCATATTTGGAGTGCAGCACCCAAACATACCCTGAAATTGTTGGATTCTGTCCAAAAAAGAGCAATTCGTCCCGTGGGTGATGCCTCGCTCACAAACTCACTCACTTCTCTGGAACACCGTAGAAAAGTTAGCGATCTGGCTCTATTTTATAGATATTTTCATGGACGATGCTCTTCTGAAATATCAACAATTGTTCCTCCCTTGGCAGTCCCCGCGAGATTAACCCGTCGAGTTGAGGCTTCGCACCCCTTCGTGGTCACATTGGAGACCTGCAGAACATCTGTTTCCTAAGACTCGTTCATCCAACGAACAGCGAGGCTCTGGAACACTTTGCCTAGGGAGGTGTTCCCCGAGGCATATAACTTCCAGAAATTTTAGAAGAACACCAATTCTCACCTTATTTCCCTTGGTTCTCACGATGTTCTCTGAACATCACAGAATATCCCTTTTCGTGGAAACGAAAACATAAAAAAAAAGTAGCTTCCATCCATATATCTACTACTCTAATCGGTACTTGTGGCTTGTCACCATGGACGTCCGTTCTTATTCTTATCATGTTGAGTCACAGATTAAGTTTGTCAATCTGTGGTTGTCACAGCAGGGTTCAAAATTCATAGGCGCCCAGCACTGAATTAGGAGGATATAATTAATAACATAATCCTAATACCATCCATAGACGCATCTATATCAACTTTTCGACTTCAAATTACAACCCAAGAATAACCCATCAAAATAAGTTAATAAATAAGATGAAGGCTTTGTTACGAATTCAACTGTCAGTACTGAATCTACTAATTGTCCATTCCAAAATCAACAACAATAACTGGATGTGACATATCTCGAGAGGAGGCATACTATCCATTCTGAATATTTTCGGCTCAGATTTCTGCTGGAATTACTGACCACCAAAGGTAGGGTGGGATCAGCAATCTGCCAATAATGAAGTGAATATAATTTTAGGGCATACAAATGTTGTAGTTGGCTACATTATCGTGAATAATTTCTGATTATCGAAGGAAATCATCCAACTCCAGACATTTATAAATTCTGCTCATCAAATCTCAAAGCTGGTATACTCGATTTGTCATCGGTTTGCCATCATGGAAACCCTTCTAAAATAAATAAATAGTTGCTGGTTCACGTACGAAAGTATCTCGTTTTTTATTTGTTTTATTGCAAATATTGTCATAAATAGTGACAGCTCACTGCACAAGTCATTTTACTGTAAATACTGAACAGCAGAATTTCAGCAGTGTCAGTGGCACTACTGACCCTGCCGACATTTGAATTCGGAACATAGTCTAAGTAACACCCCATCTACGCACGTTCAGGAAAAGAGGGTAAGAAAAAAGAAAGAGGCCGCCTAGAAGTGAAAGTCGGTTTCATCGTCAAATCGGGCAGCCTCACCAACCTGAGCAAGAAAGAGAAGCACAAGTCTTCGATCGGCCAGCTGTCGCACGTGGCCCAATCGGTAGGTGGTAGCCTTATGAGTCTCGGTAGTGCCGAGAAGAGGAAGGGCATTAAGAAGTTCGCCAAATCGATTGGGTCCAAGATGAACTTGAAGGGCAAGAAGAAAGACGGAGGATCGGAGTACGAAGGATCTTCCATCGGTAGCGTCGGCAGTCTGAAGATCAGGAGTGGGACTTTTGATAGGTTCAAGAGTAGACAGACGCCTGAAGATGCTGATCCAGGGGTCGTTAGTGACGAAGACGAATTTACGGTAAATAAGAGCATGCTTACACATATTTCCAGGGCATGGAATAATAATTTCACATGTCAAGAACGGCTAAATGTTGAACAGAATGTCTGTTAAGTGGAGGTTAATTCATCAACCATATAATATTACTTATGAAAGTAATACGATTTCATATGTTCAAGCTATTAACAATATGCTCAACAATTTTATTTCCTCAAGATGCATACTTGAGAAAACAAACTGGTACTTTGGCTAGCTCATTGTCTTCTATGTCCTCGATATTTTCTTTCCAGTTTGATGACTTGTCCAATAAGAGTTCAGCAAGTTCTCTTAGTCAGACAAACACTAACAGGACTGCCTCCCCAGTGGTTAAGACAACATCAGTGGAGAATATCTTGCCTACCGAAATTGTCAAGAAAAACACCTCAGGAGCTGTCCCACCTGCAAAACCTCCGAGGATCGAACAGAAATCACCGCCCCAAGATGAATGGGAATCTAAACTTGTTGGGAACAAGCCCAGGGGTGAGTAACCAACATGACTTGTTTTTTTTTTTAGCAAACGCCTGGTAGCTGGCGAATTTAATTGATGTCGTATTCGAGCCTCCCATCTTCAGTTTTGGAGCCATTTGTGTACCACTTTATGACTTCTTCTTTGAGCTCTTACAGCTCAGCCTTGTGGTGAATTGTTTCACGAAGCAGTACTTTTTCTTTATCCTGAGGAAAATCTTGTATAGTATATCCAATATCAATTGCAGAATGCGTCTTACACTGTGCGGCGTCGGCGTGTTTGAAGTTTCCTTTGAAGTGACTGCAGGTGCGGCACGAGATTCTGCAATTGTTTGTGGATAAACTATAGATACTGCTTGGCAGATTGGCCTGCCTTTGATCACTACTTCTCTAATCATTCTGTATATTGTTCTCTTTGCAACACTCTCCACAACTAAATGTTGAGGAGTGAGGTTTAATTATTTCCATTGCGGCTGTGGGACACGTTCTTATTGCATCGGTAATGCATACATATGCTAATCTCTGAATCTTCGTGAGATTAGCCGTTGTGGAGGCTCGACTAGTTCTCTCTCCACAAACACCATCCATCTGGGGGTCCTAAGGGTACATCTCCAGCTTTTTTCTGCTTTTTTTTGCATACCAAAGCTTTTATGTGGCTTTGTTAATCACTTTCTTCTCGTGTTTATTCAAAAGAAGTTTATGGTCCATGATGAGTCCCAAGTATTTCACCTCTTGTTTCCATTCTATATATTTTTGTTTGCTTCCACCCAACTATTGTTGCAGCAGGCTAGGTATTTTATATACAGTTATAATTTACTGGTACCTAACTTGAAATTCACAAACAATTCCAAATCAGCTGTTGGAATTCTAGTTTGGTTCTGTCAAGTTCCAGATTCATTTTGGATATTATCAAAATATATTATTTCTGTTTTGTTATGTCATCAGGCATCTGAACTACTTAATCATTTCATGAGTATTTGATTCATACTTTCCAATATTACATATAATATCATTCTACCTATGAAATGAGCTAGTTTGCTAGTTGATATAATAGTAATAGGGTCTCCTTGAAATCCATATAGAATTTCTAAATATCCAAACATATAACTGAAAATAGCAGCGTCGCAGTCGCGCTAACAAAATCGCGATTTAGCTCCCAGTGAGTAAGAACCTCTTTGAAAATGTAATTTTCTGTGTGAAGTTAACTTGACAGTTCACAATGGACGCCTTCTTTTTCTTTTTCAAATTCTTTTTCTGAAAAAAAATATGAGCCTATGGAGATAGTGAAATAGTTGTTAGTTATTTATAAACCATGGTTATAAAGAGTATCATATTACCCAGGGACCAAGATTATCCCAAGGCTTTTCAGTCGATTGGTATAAGGTCCCGTTGCAATAATATTCTTTGCTACCAATGTGTATATTAAATTTTTCTCCACTAGCAATTTACAGTGTCATTCATACAGTCCGCATCATACAGAAATTTTTTTTAATAATAAATCATTTCGAAATTCGACTTGTCCTTAAGTTTTGCTTTAAAAATTATAAAGAATTGACTTCTCGGTCGGGGTGACGTGACTTTCCCTGCAAGTCAAAAGTTACATTTTTTCAAACTAATCGTTGAAAATAGGCTTATTTGTTCTAATTTCAAAAAAGTTTGCTGAGATAAGTTGTTGTTTTGTTTGTTTGTTTCACCGAGTAGGCCATATTTCATATTTTTTTGAGCAAAACTGGACGCCGAAGACGAATTTCAAAATAAATGATTATTAATATGATGCCAACTTTATGAATGACACTGTATTTCAATCATTATAATTCTGTGAAACTGAAACATGGGCGTATGGAATATATACCTTATATTGTCACTATGAAAGCACTCCATTGCAATTCTAATTGAAATCTAGTAGTCATGACCATGACAGCATTTGACAAGTTGTTATTGACAAATACCTACTAAATTCCAGAGCCATTCCTGCAAATCTCGCATCAGAACTGTGAATTAGGGTTAATTAATTAATTATGTCTTTATTCATAAAATGGATGAATGAAAACTGCCTTTGTAGTAGAAACACACTTCACGGCTTGAAAAGTAGTAAATAATGGTAGGTTCTATAGCTAGTGGTGGAAGTAAAAAATCTGAATTTTTCCTGACAGTTTGATGCTACCAACTTTGGTGATAATAAAAGTTTGATTTTATATGACTATTAGAGACAACCTTCTATATCCAAAAACATCAATTTCTTGTTCCTATGTTAAAAAGATATAATGGTAGGTAGGAGTATTGATTCTTCCACTACTGATCATGTCTATTTTCGACCTGAAAAATCAATTCTTGCAATCTATACCAATGATACATTTTTCGCTCTTACCAATAGATAATAAAAAAAAGTGTTCATTTATCCTGAAATAGTCGGAATTTGACATTTGACAGCTTCAACGACTTTCAGTGAACATACACTTCATAAATAACTAAAATCTCAGGTAAAAAGCTAGTAGCGGGAAAATGGTATATAAACCACGATACGGAACATTATTCTCGCCTCACCTACTTATTTCCCTAGGTGATAATATTCCTGTGATTGATGCCTAATAATTGTTCAATAAAATCTGAGACAATATGTTTTTTTTTATCGCTTGGAGCGCACGAAAGGGAATTCCTATAATGTTCAAAGAACATCGTGCGTTCCTAGGGAGGATAGGGACAGGAGGTAGGTATTGGAATTTTTTTTGAACTTTTGGAGATTATATGTTGTTGGGAATACTTCCACAGGCAATGAATTCCAGAGCCTAGCTGTTCTATGGATGAAGGAGTCTTGATAAAGTGCTGTTCGACATCTTTCGAGGTTGACAACGAAAGGATGTGCTGACTGGGCTTGTCTAGTTCGTCTGATTGGTATTGCTAGTGAAGGGATGATAGCAGAGATTTCCGAAGAACATTTCCCGTGGAAGTATCGATAGAAAAGTGAAAGGTCGCCGACCTTTCTACGGTGTTCCAATGATGTCAAAGAGTGAGTGAGTGTGGCGTCACCCACCAGGCGAATGGTTCTTCTCTGGATGGAATCTAAGAGCATCAGCGTATGTTTTGGTGCTGAACCCCATATGTGGGAACAGTATTCTAGAACAGGCCGTATCTGCGCTTTGTAGATCATGAGAAGCTGTTGAGGTGTGAAGTAGTTTTTCGCACGGAACAAGAATCCGAGTTTTTGTGAAGCAGCTTTTGCGATGGATCTGACATGATTATCCCATGAAAGAGTGTTGCTGATGGAAATACCGAGCATAGATATGGTGGGCTTGGTGGGGATGGTGGAGCCAGACATTACAATATCGGGCATACTGAGTTCCGCCTTCCTAGAGAAAATGCAGGCTTGAGTTTTTGTGGCGTTGAATTCAACTAGGTTGTTTGTTCCCCAGGCTGTGATTTCAGCAAGATCTTCATTGACAGCATTGACCTGCCTGCGCCGTGAGTTCTTAGTTTCCTGGGAAGAAATGGGAATTCTGGAAGAGAACGCAGTATGGAGGGTACTATCATCTGCAAAGCTGTGAATGGGGCAAGTTGTTCCTCCCAACAGATCATTGATATGAAGCAGGAATGATGTTGGTGCCAAAATTGATCCTTGTGGAACGCCGGAATTGATGCCAATGGTATCAGACGATACACCGTCCACCACCACGTGAAGCTATCTGCCTGAAAGAAAACTCGATACGAGATGGCATAGCTGAGGTGGTAAGCCGTATGATGGTAGTTTGTGGAGGAGTCCTTCGTGCCAAACACGGTCGAATGCTTTTGATATGTCCAACGCGACAGCTAGAGATTCCCCGTGTTTTTCTATTGAAGATTGCCATAAATGGGTGACGTAGGCAAGTAGATCTCCAGTAGATCTTCGGTGGCGAAAGCCGTATTGTCTATCATTGATGATTCCTGAGCTCTCCAGATATTTGATAAGCTTTCTCCATCACTTTGGAGATTACTGATAACAGGGCAATGGGCCTGTAGTTGTTGGGCAGGTTCTTGTTCCCTTTTTTGGGGATTGGTTGGACTCTAGCTGTCTTCCAGCATGATGGAAAAATACCCGACCTGTACGAGATGGTAAACAACTTGCAGAGAATCGGTGTTAATTCTGGTGCACATTTTTTGAGGATAATGGGTGGAATTCCATCAGGACCGTTAGCCTTATTCGTTTCGAGACCAAGCAAAATTCGTCTGATAGTGCGTTGACGGAAGACGATTTCGGGCATTCGACTCTCAACGGGTGGAATGTCTGGCGGCAGTTTTCCTTGGGAATCTAAAGTAGAGTTTGCTGCGAACATCTCGGCAAAAATATTTGCTTTCTCCTGCGATGTTGTTGCTAATGTGCCGTCGGATTTGGACAGTGGTGGAAATGAACTATTAATGATCCAGATATTATATGAATTGACAAAATGGATCCCACAATAATCAGAACAACCCACGTCAATTTGATGTGATGAATTTAACAATTCTACTTTTCTGTAACTTTCTCATATTTATTTTTATTGTCTCCCTATTTCCTTTTCTCCCCTACAATATTTGAATTCATCAGGTATGCCTAATTCCTTAGACCAGCCCAGGCATTGAATATCATCAAGGGGTGCCGTCTAGATTCCATTATATGCGTTTTGTTTATTACATTTCTGTGATGTTAACTGGATTATACTTATGGTCAAAATTGAAATCATGCAATATTTAAAACCCTTCAAATCTTCAAATCCGTGAATGCCATTTATTTTATGATATCAAAATTGAGACCACTAGAAAATAATATTTTGTGTGTGTCTGTGGAGTTACTCTACTTTATTAAGATCGTGGCAATAGAATAATCAAGACCTCCATTGGGACAATTAAAACCACATTAAGTTTGTTTGATAATCAGATATATTTCTGTCATAAATATTTGTTGATGATTTGAGCATTGAACCGCCGTTCATTGTTATTTTTTCATTTAGTTTCACATTCATAATCAGACACAGTCATTAGATATTGAGAAAGAATAAGTGTGTTGAAACATGTGATAGGAATGGAGGTAATAGTTCATGAAAGCAGTCTAGAAAATTAAGTATTTTTTTCTATTGGCTTCTAACGATGAAAGTTCAACAAAATGGTCAGCAAATGTTTGAAAATGGGGTAGTGTAGGAATCCTATTAGGTATATCGGATGGATTGGAATGAAATATCTTGGATAATACTCATTTTTGCTCAAATATAAATGTTAAACGTAAGCTCTTAATTATTCAAACTCGTTAAAGAAATGTGGAATTTGTTTCTTGTTTCTGCAATATAAGAACTCTTAGTTGCTGAAAACGATGAAGTAATCGATTATTCTAGTATAAATATAGGTATAATATGTTTTGCTGTTCATTAATCATCCAAACAAGCCTGAACTTTAAACGAGAGAAACATCAGAAGAGGAATGCATAACCTGCTTTTAGTTGCTGAATTTTTCTTATTCAAACAATAAAATATTCCTCAATTGATCATGAAAATACATGCTACTATTTTAAGATGCCATAGAAGGATTATTCATCTATGTACAATTGAGAATTTATATTGCATAAAAAATATAATTACTTTTTCTTGAAATTGAGTATGCAATCAATAAATAGCCTAACTCCCATTATTATAATTACCACATTTATTGTTGAACCCAGTGAGATGGAAATGAACTGTTGTCAAATCCTCAACGTCAGGTTCAAGGTTATAGTAGCAGATAACAGTATATTTACATATATTTAAAATAAATATAATAAATCCTTCCTTGAAGTGTTGAATAATTTATTTGATAAAATGCTTTTTTAAATGAGCATATGTATTAATTTCAAACTTCACTTATTTTAGTTGGTCTAAGGCCTGGCAGCAGTGAATCCCTAAACCGCAGATCTTGGGACTCTTCCAAACTAGCTTCTCAAATAGAAGAAGAACCAACAGATCTTCTCGAAGTGCCCACGATTAAACTAGATACCCAAAGCTTGAAATCGAATAAATCGCCAGAACCTCCCAGAAAAGATATGAAGGAAGGAATGTTTTCCAAATTCAAAAATTTTAGAAAAGGTAATAGGTCCTTCTTGCTTTGATACACATTGTTTCAGGAAGAGTGGAAACATTTTCAATGCAGAATTTACTGTTTGCATTGTTTGATTCTTTCTTCAGGAAGTCTAATTTATTTTTTATAATTCCTGTTGAAGTCGAAGTTGAAGTAGAATTCGTAAAATTGTTGATTATATGTTAGACGTTTTTATTCATGTGAGTGTCATCTGAATGCTACATAGAATTGAAATAAAAACTCAGAAAATCATTCAAGGTCACCTAGGTTGAGGAAAGTTACCAGAAATAATTGCATCAACATAGTTTGACCACTGGATTTGACCTTGAACGGAATTATAGAGTATAAATAAAATTCACATGAACTCCAGTTTGAATGTCCAATAAGCCCTGAAAAGATAAAGCAGTACCGTGAGAGATACAAAGTCGGTTAAATGAGGGGCAAATGAGGATTTTAGAGCTATTTATTGTGCCGTTGAAATCTTTGAAATTTCTACAAATTGTTTGGAGAATTAAAAAAAAATTATTCCGAAAAATTTTTGTTTTTTCGATCCTACTTTGTTTTTGGGCCTTTAATTGACACGAAATTTGATATTCTCATTGCAATTTTCATCTTCTTTTCATGGTGGTATCTTCAGATTTGAAATTGATAAAAATACAGGTCCCTATTTGAAACAACAAATAGTCTCAAATACTCTGTTTAACCGATAATGGTGAGAAGAGAATTTGTTACACCCTGTCGGAGATGAGTTACCCAGGGTTACTTATTTCTGACCCTGTATGGCGGACGAGGGCACAATTTGTTCTTAACTTAACTTGGCCTCCCCATCATTCTGGAAAATATGTGCTTGCTTCAAAATATAGGCAGTTACCATATTATATGTTTCACTTCAAAATTTTGGATCGGCTTCCAGGACTTTTTAGGTTATATGCACTTATCTCTGCACACATTCTGCTAATTTTTGTTCATTATTTCATATTCAGGAATTTGAAAATTTTGGAAGGATTCTGATGATAAAATGTGAAGTAAATATGGAATAATAAGATTCTAGTAGTGAGTGATGTTGGGCAAATTTATTAGTTATGAATTTCTTTTAGAAACAATTTTTTTCCAAGTTTTCATAATCCCTGATTTTTTCTCTTTAGACAACACAGCTGCATGTTGATACGCTTGTTCTAGATAAAATCGAAAATAACTCGGAGCACGATAAGCCAACTGGTAACTCAAATGAACGTATTATTATAGGAGGAGAAACTGAAATACGTATCCCTGTCAATAATCGTCTATCAAATGAGTTGCTTCAAAAGTTCGATGGAAAAACACGAGAGGTGAGTGAGAAAATACATTCGCGATTTTATCGTTACGTTTTTGAAATCTTGTGTTTTATCATCCAGATGAACAATCATTAGTTATTTGTACCTGATTAACTTCATCATCAGTTTTCATCTACACATTAACTTTTTGAGAAACATAGGCAATAGGAGTATACAATTTTCAGCAAAAAAATATGAAACTCAATCACTATCTCAGTTAATATTGGTCGTACAGAAACTTTCAAATGGACAGAAGTGAAGTGTTTTTTATGGGCATTCAGAATCCATATATATTAGGAGGCAAGGAAGGTTGGAAATCACTTCGAAGTTAGGACGTCCAAGCCACTAACTTTTCATATTTTTCCTGGAAAATTTTCAGTTAATTAAAATTTGTCTCTCTTTTCATGGAAACACCCCCCTACGTAATTGTAATTGACTTTATCTTTGGACTCTCCCTTTTTCCTGCAAATTTCAGAACCCTACCCCAATAATGACATCATATACGTTGGTGCTTTCATGAAAAATTAGACAAAATTTAATTTTCCAGGAGAGATATGAATAGTTAGTAAATTGGACGTCCTGATTTCGAATCCAAAGTGATTTTCAACCTATCTTGCCTCCTAATATCATTTTCCGGAAATGTGGGTGGTTGACTGTTGGCGAGCAGTGTATATCACGGGAGTTGACTCCACTTAGTCCACTTGGTCATGGTGTGAATATCTGCCGTTCCTGAAAATTTCAGAATCCTAACTCGATAGTTATGAAAGATTACAGAGGTGCTTTCATGATAAATGAGACACACTGTAAATATTTTATTGAGGTTATCTTTGTCAGTTTTCGAAAGATATGGATTCTTAGACGTTCAACGCCTGCATTAGATCTATCTATTCTCGATAGAAAATAAGCGTACGCCACCTATCGGAGTTATTGAAATCTGTCTAAGCGACATGTTTACTTTGTTTTCATTGGTTATTGGTTCACTTTTTTTTTGTATGTGCTTATTGGTCATATCATCAAAACAAACTGCTCAACAGTGTTCAAGTTGCTGCCGTCTGGTGGGGCGACGTGTAATTTTCTATCGCGATTACCAAAATCATCTATATATTAAAAACTGACAAAACATAACCTCAATAAAGTATATATATATATTTGAAATCTGAAGAAAAAGCTCTTCCGTTTAGAAAAATAAAATAGAGGGTGTTCCGTTTCAAAAATAACAGTTCATGTAAAATATCAAGATGCCTTTTTGAATTTTCTAGTAGGTACTAGATTCTGAATTTCCATAAAAAATACACCCATTTGAACGTTTCTATAGGACCAATATTAACTGCTATAGCTATTGAGTAAAATATAAACAATCACTAGGTACATTGGACCTTTGTTCATTCAGAGTCGGAGAATTTTCTATACAATAGGTTGGTATATTGTTAGTATGACTATGATGATCATTTTATTTTCATTTTGTGAAGTTTCAAGACATGCGCTAACAAGAGAAGATAGATACTAATGTATAGGGATAATGTTTAATGATCATTAGGGGTTTAAAAACCACTCCATTTCGGAAATTGTAGCTATATGAACCTCATATTGACAGTCATATTCACTATTTATATGACTACTATTTCAACTTTCAAAATGTAAACCAAAAAGTCACTATAGTGAAGTGATAATCATGGTGATGGTGTCCTTACCTCATTTTATATGACCAATCAATTTTCATTATCATTTCATTACAGTAATGATCAAAAAGTAGTGGGCAATTTTCATTTCTAGGATTTGATACTATCCTTAATTGACACCCAAACTGACTTGGAAAAACAGAAAAAGAAATTGAAAGATTTAGAAGATTATTTAGATGACCTATTACTCAGGGTAATGGAAACGACGCCACGTATTCTACAAAATCCTTATGTCACCTACAAGCTGGGGCAACATAAAAAAATAACGTGAGTTGCATTGAGGGCGATTCTTACGTTTTGTTTTCACGGGTCAATTTTTGTTTCAGTGGTTGACGCAATCGGCATCAACGCATTCGACATCTTTGTGCCAGTGATTTGCAGAATCTACAAAAAGCTTTCACAGAAGTATATATTTTTTGTTATTGTTATTTGGTTGTACCAGAAGAATCATCACGTCTTCCTTTTTTCTGCATCACAATCCACAACTTAATTCATAGTTGTATCAGCAATTTATTTTATTTGTGATATATTTTTGACTCTCGGGACACCTAGATCATTTTATAAACAATTAAATAATTAAACTGACACCCTGAACGGGATCATGGGATTTCTTCATCACTCAAGAAATATGTTTCAACTTTAGTCATACTAAGAAGCAACTTCGGATGCTTCTGTATTGAATTTTTGCCAATTTCACTGAAGGGTATAATCCGAAATTCGGATAACTTTGCATCTACCCGGAAACCATTAGCCACATGGAACATTCATATTAAGAGTGATTCATTTGAATTCCACACTCGTAATCATCCCTGCATTTTTGGTGTAAAATGAAAAATCTTCAATTCCAAGGAATTCAATTATGTGATCAAAATTGTTATATGAAATGAATTGGAATATTTTCAAGCAATTTTTGAAATATTGAAAGCATCAGAACTTGTAGTTGTGATGACACTTGAAATTATAATTACAAATAATTACACATGAAGACAAAAACATTATTCAGCGTGTAAAAAATGTGACCCAATGCGACGAATCGAACACAATATCTTCTGTGCTTTGTGCTTTTAATTTACAGGGAACGACAAAAATAGGTAAGTATAGTCTTTGCAAAGTCACTTGAACCGACGAAAATAATTTTAACCGGCCACGCGTCGGCAAATCCTCTGAGGATCTGCCGTCATCAGCGGCGGAGAATAATATTTTGTTTCGGTACCACGAATAAAAGCTGTTTTCTTAAAAAATCTGCAGTACAAGGATTATTGGCAAGTTATTTCAATACCACTCATGAGGTACTACCACGACCCTCTACTTTTTTCAGTGCGTGTTCGCCAATAGGTAGGTAATTTCAAATAGAGGTCCAATCGGTCCACATTTGAAATATAGATACAACATAAAATGAAACACTGAAATAATTCGTGATAGAAAATAAAACGTCGCCCCACCTGATGGCATCAACTTGAACACTTCTGAGCGGTTTGGTTTGATGGTTTTGATTCTGTGAACCAATGAAAACAAGATATACATGCCGCTTTCCCAGCTTTCAAAAACTCCGATAGTTGGCGTAATTTTTTATCGCGAATAAATGTGCCTCAGAAGGTGTGAACACCTGGCACGCCTATCAATAAATCTCTGACCAATCAACTTTTAGTATAATTGGTGGTAATCAATGAGATGCGGCTTCCTACTTGATAGCTCATTTCCAATTCACGTCTATAAAAACGAAAGTGTCTCAATTGACTTTGACGAGACTATACCAATCCTTATTCACAAATGCGGTTTTTGATGTATAACAAAATGAAGTTTCTATTTGAAATAAAAAAGTATATGACTCGTTGCACTCCCTGTAACGACTAAAAATATTTTGGAAAAAACATGTGGTGGACTATAGTGAGGATAAATTCAATTTAAGGTCATATCATGCATGGTTTACCACAGAATTATTATTATTCAGCAATAGGGTGAGTCGTTCGAGTGATCCGTCACGTGAATTACATGTTGAGTTGTTGACCCGGGTTAGGTTTCCGAAATGGCATTATGAACCGCTGCATTTTGAAAAGCTTTTTGTTTTTAATGTGAATGAAAACTGGAAGACGATCTGAAATATTTATGTTTTGAGATATCTTTAATACTTTGTTTGACAGTTGTGAGGTTTTACTATATTTATTCAAATTACTGCTCAGGAAACAAGTCAAAGTGCCTCAAATTGGAATTGCATAGTCATAAGATTAGGTAATGATGTGTTTTTTTTATTATTGAGCAGAGTTTTTATTATTTTTTTACATTTTCTTATTAGTGTATAAATTAAATATGCTGATTCAACGTAGCATGTCGATAAATGTCCAATTTTCCAAAGTTCAGATCATGTGAATGAAACATTTCGTGAAATTGATTGTAGTCTCCTGAACGATCTGGAAAATACTGATGAGTTAATTAATGATAGTGTAGATATAATGACCACTTTCAACTTCATTTAATTTTCAATATACCGGTGTCCCAGAATAACGTTCCAGGCGGTAATTCTACAGATGAAAATAGGAAAATGTAACCGATGCTCTAAATATGTCCCAATTTTTTCCCGATTCATCTCATTTTTATTATACTAGAATAGGATTCCTTAAAACCTTTAATGAAAGATACTCTTGTTAGAAGGCCGTTAAACCGTTTTTGAGAAGTGTAATTTTTCATTTTGATGTTTGAAAAAATTCGCAATGGGCGTTTGTTCTTATGATAGAAAAAGTGAAACCTGACGCTCTAAATGTTGCATTTTCTTGTAGTTTTGTTTCATTAGATTTGAACGTGATGTAGATATTTTTTTCGACCATCAAAATGAAAAATTACATTTTTCTCGAAAACGGTTCGTTTTGCAGCATGCTAACAAGAGTGCCTTTCTAATGAAAAATATTTGAAGAATTATATTGTGGTACTAAAAATAGGATGAATCATGAAACAACAAACTTGGGGTATTATAGCATTGGTTGCGAGTTTCGTATCTCCTTGTATATTAAATCATATTTACTCCTAGGTACCAAAATTCGTGATTCTAATATCAATAGGGACAAAGATAATTGAAAAAACTACATTAAAGAGCTGTTCAAAGAACTATTGTGCCCTGAGGAAGAATTTTCGGACACATTTTGGTAGAAACATTTTTATTTTTATTTAATATGTACTGTAGTGCCCTTAGGAAGCATTTTCGCACACCCCGGAGTAATCGAACGTTATTCTGGGACAACCTGTATAAAATTGAGGAATTTATTTAACCACTAACATCAAATCATCACACCCAGTATTTCAATATTCATAATACAGTGTAATAAGGTTGATTAAACATTCAACTTCTTGTTAGTTGGACGATTTGGATTTGGCGATGCATTCCATCAAATTGTACAAATGTTTTTATGGAATATTTTTTCAATGCAAATCGCATTTCTGTAAGTTTTCTGAGATATTTGGACTAGCTGTACAGGTTTATCATTCGTCCTTTGATGATTTAAAATATTGCTAGCAAGTAATAGGGAATCATAAAGCGCAGAATTCGAAAAAGAAATTCACAAATTGCTAATAAATACAGGGTGGTTTGGATTTTTGTGTAAGCATTTTGTGAGGAACAAAATAACTCTTCCTCATAACTGAATGCAGTACGTGAAAGATTGATTTAAAATGTGAAAAGTGAAATATTTCGGCCAACTGCCTTTAGCACCTATCAAATATAAAAATTTAATTTTGAATTCGTTCACTGATACATCATACATCCTTCATAGTAAGTCTCAAACGACTTGTTTTTCAACATTTCACAAGTGAGCTTTCTTCAGAATTCGAAAGTGTTTGAGGATCACTGATTTCCTCAGAAATGTTTAGAGGCGTGCTACTTATTTCTAGAAAATAGATATATCCGGCGCCTATGTATTATTCATTGTAACGATTTTTGACTTGTGAAGCAGACGCGGGTTTACACATTACTTAAATGTTCTTTGTGATAAGTTGCATTTATGGAGGTATGTTTAATGAGAAAAGTAGGTACCTTCATTTTGCCAATGTATAAAAATTTGGACCACCCTGTTATTTCAGCATAATGATAGAAATGATTAATGGTATATTCATAAAATTATCTGAGACTCGTCACATGTTTAAATGACTGCAACATAGGATTTATTTACTATATACCACCTAGATTGGTGCTATAATTATTGACAAATGAATTGAACTGACTTGATGAAATCATTATTTTATAACAGTTTGTTCTAGATTGTAAGTATCTTCGATTGATATAATTATGTTGTAATGATATTTATTATTTTATACTGTTATTGTGGTGTAAAGGAGTATACTGATTTTTTAGAGTAATATGTAATACAGTATTTTTGACATTTACTTTGCAATTTAATTATACGCTCACCCCGAACTATATTTGAAAGAAAAACGAAATAATACTGGTTGAGACAGCCTGTAATTTCTGTATTCATTGAGATGAAATTTTGATATTCATAGTTTCTCAATAGTTGATATGGCTCTTTTTTCACATAAATCAATTTTCTTGTGTAGCCGAAAGTGATCTAGACATTTCATATTCAACATATATCACAAAGTGACCTGTTTCGGCTGTTTCTATGTTTTCTGTTTGACATGTGAATTTTATTTTCATTTCAACACATCAAGGTGATTGAGTAGAATATAATTACATTTTGATGCTTGATTAGCTATGAAATTCGTGGATAACTTGTTCTAAGTCGAAGTGATCAAAGTGTTTCTTCCAGATATGGAATATCCTCAGAAGCCATATTTCATTTTTTAAATGGGCGAGTGGACTGATAATGAATTATTGGCATTCAATTACTCCACTGTGTCGTGAGGGACCTAAATTAATTTTTGTAACACTTCTCACGCTTTTTTATGTAAATAATGAGTCTATGCGTTGTTCAAAATTGTTGAATTTCAGAGCTATTTCAAACGTATCGTCTTGCCACCATTTGGCGATACGTCGAATAAATGGTGACGTCAGTTTTAATGCTGTTTCGTTATTGGTTAGATAATTTTCAATTCCTAAGGTTGTCAAGTCCCCAATTATGATTAAGTTATCAAAAAGATGTGTCCTGTCATTGAATAAAACATGAAAGAGGAAGCCATGATATGATAGTTCATTCTTGCATGACTTTTTCGAGCAATCAGCATATCCAAATATTTTTTATACAGAATAACAAAATATCATGTAAATGTTGGAGACTTGGCAGCATTGTGCTGAATGCTGAGAATCGACAAGACACCGCCGACAATTTGTGTTCCGTGTTGTCACGTTTTCCAGTTCGAATATCCTCTAGTGTGAATTAATATAATTATTATTTACACAAATGTATTTGAAGCAATAAACCACAACAAATGAGGGAACATTTCGAGACAATTGATTTTTTATTGCTAAGTAGGAATATTACCAATGTGTAATTGGGAATTTATGTATATTGAATAAGTATTATTTCTGAAGTTCCCATTCGTATTTCAACATATGGCAACTGTGCCTGCCCCTAATTACGAAATCGTGACGTCAGTTTTTACTCGCGGTAAATTTTAAAACCTCAATATCGACCGAAAAATATTAAATTGAAAGGTATTTGAGTGATGATTCTATTTTAGAAATACAAAAAAAATAGCCTATTCCCAAAAGTTATTGACTGAACTCAATTTCCACTAATAAATGGAGAACTATTAGAACCATTATCAAGTTTGAATTGATATTCATGTATTTCAAGAAGGTATTACTTATTCACACATAATATGAAGTAGTAAGTATTCTATTGTCAGAGATAATGCTATTTCGGGAAAATTGTTGGTGGTGAATTGTCAGATAATGAAACAATGAAGGGATAAATCAAAGAAATGTGAGTCCATTTAATATTTTTTATATTCACAACATTACTTTTTATTTATCAAGCATAGCTTCCATCTACTATAGTCCCAACTGATCACAGTCATTTTCAGTCATTGACATGATGCATGTCAGATAAATTAAACCTATATATTTTCTTCAAAACGAAATATAAAATATCTAAACAAAAAAGGGGAATTAACATTAACAGACAGAATGGTTCTTGCTACATGAAAACCCACATCTGACGAGAGTACCAGTGACATTTGAACAACAGCCTGTCCCAAATAAAATTAGAGTAGATGGCGTGGATCGCACAGTTTTCATGTACACGATTTCCGTACAAAATTTGTCAATAACCTCATCATTCTGAAATTACTAATTCAGTTTCATGAATATGAGTCAACTTCAGCACAAGTTCCTCAGGATCCTTGCTGAATAATGTATTATATTATTTTTATAGATTCCATATAGATAATGGAAAATTCGTATGCATAAAAATTAGTTCAACATTAGCAAACATGTTAAATAAAAAAATTTACAGACAGATGAGTTTGGTTATCAGGAACGAGTCTGATTAACTCTAAACCTACTTAAGAAAAAACTCTATTACTAGGGAGATTGCATCCATCTTTCATAATTTATATTATCTATTAATAGTTGATCTTTTGAAGAAACGACGATGAAAGTGTCAATTTGGGTGCAAAAAAATTGTTCTACTGAAATAAATAAACAGCTCAGTTAAGGTGCATGAATCTGCCTCCAGTCTAATTCTGGAACCTCACTATAAAAGCAATAATTTCCTGGAGAAATGTCCATCATACAAAGCTCTATTATTCTTGGTTTAACCAGAATAAGGGATGTGTTGTTCAAGGGCCAAGATAATCCTAAATAATGTAAGAGGTTATATACCATCAATATTTTGTGCAGTTTTAGATAATTAATAAATTAATAATAATTAATAAATTTCCAATCAATCAATTTCAAATATAATTTTCAATAGTCCTAAGAATTTCTATTCATCTAGAAGGGCTTCAAGATCAATCAAGGAATAACAGGATTAATCTGATAATATGCACCTCATTAATATAAAAAGAATGAATGAAAATAATGAATGAATTAAACCATGCAATAGTTATAATTATTCAAAAGTTCATAAAATGTGATCATTTTTTAAATCATAGTGAAATAATGACATCAAATTTCACTTCTACATTTTGGTCTATAACTTAATGATTAAAAAAAAATCAGATAAATAGTATTGAAAACAAAAACGCTAACACACTGGTTTCCTCAATTGTTAATTATATGAGGATCCTTCCATATTAACAGGTGGAAGATATGAAGGCATCTCTATGATTATTTTTCATTGCAAAATCACCAGAATATCATTAAGAATTTGGAAAAAGAATATTTCGACAGGTGTTAATAATGTAGGATTTGGAAAACCAGCGATTTTTTTTTCCATATAATTTGAGATCGCACTCTATATTGACAGTACAGGACGAAGAACTGTCAATTAAAAATACCCTTATGTTTTTCTCTTAAGAAAATTCGAATTATATAGATATATATTATAAAAACTCCTAATAAGTGATGTTTTCAAATCAATTGCCATGATGATTAACGATTTCACTCTCCTATTTTTTCCATTGTAGTCATATTTTCAAATTCAAAATGCAAATGAGTCCTGTAAGAAACAAAAACAAATGCCTCCCATGCGTTCTTACCAAAGTAATAAATATTGGACAAGTAGCACCAACAAAACTGGTAACAATAACAACCACTTTAACCTTTACGAACGTCGGGGGCCCATGTAAGGACGCCCCATGTGAGGTGGGCCCATATAATGAGGGATCGTAGGAGGTGGACCCATAGGAGGAGGAGGGCCCATAGGAGGCTGTCCCATAGGAGGCGGTCCCATAGGAGGCGGTCCCATGGGAGGGGGACCCATGGGTCGGTGGTTCATAGGGTAGCCCACTCTAGGACTCCTAGGATATCTAGGTCCATGCACTTCACCGCGAAATGGGCGATATCCTGGTGGAGGGGGACGCTCCCGGAAATCATTCCACGGCCTAATTTGACCCGTATTCCAAAATGGCGGAGGAGGGGGTGGCGGTAGTCCTCTCATACTAAAAATATCAATATGAATATAATTTGACAGTGACGACACATGTAAAAAATCGGACCATTTATGAATTTTTATCATGCCTATTGATAACTAATCGATTTATAACAAACTGACTAATAATTGTGAAACAAACAACAATAATTGACAATGTATCAACATAGGCGGGTTCAGTATTCACTCACCCCTCTATTTTGTTTACCTGCTTCAGTGACTCCACAAAAAATGTCGTGGAGGTAATTGAAAGAGTCCAAGTGATCCCCCAATAGCCTGCCCTACAACTATAGGCCTATTGCCATGTTATCAATTATCTCCAAACTGATAAAGAAAGCCATCAATATTGAGCTTATCAAATATCTGGAAAGCTCAGGAATCATCCATGATAGACAAGATAAACTGGAGATTTACTCGCCTACGTCACCCATATATGGCAAACTTCATTGGGAAAACATGGGGAATCTCTAGCTGTAGCATTAGATGTATCAAAGGCATTCCAATTTTGGAAGGCAACCAGAGAACATTTTCCAAAAGTTCAAGGACCTCTCCATTAGTAAATTCATATTTCCAGATTATTTGATGGTAACGCAAGAAAGAAAACTAGGTGCTGACTTAACAATAAGAACATTTCTAACAAATGCCAAAAGTTGCTTATTTAGAGCCATATTATGTCACTAGTTGAATCATATTCTTCATATGATTTTATGTTCAGAATGTCCACTTGTATCATACTTGAACAGATGCTGCATTCTATAAAATATCACTCATTTGCCTACTGTCCTTTCAAAAGGACAACTTCTTTCTAGAAACTCCAGCTTTCAAATTTTTTTTTCTAAATTTTTTTGTTACTCATTTTTTAATACTGAACTAGTTTCACACAAAAACTGAAAAAATATTTTCAGGCACATCTGGGTTAAAAGAACATTTCTATGGGAATTTATTTTAAGGAAATTGGAGATTTTATAACTGAAAATGGTCTGTCTGTGTGCGTTTTCTTATTATAATTGAGGTCCTTGTATTTTCAATAGTGTCTGTACTCACCCTGGGTGATTATCAAAGCCAGGAGGCCTCACATGTTGATTGAATGATGTCCGGAATGAAGGCAAAGACCTTTGCTGTCCCATCAGGTTGTCATGTTTTGGCCTCGGTGGTCTCATGCTACAATCAAACATGCTCGGCGATGGGAAAGAAGAAGAACCGTTCCTGAACTGTCCCTGAACATTTCTACAACCACCATTAATTGGTGCTGGCAATTGGTGTTGATGTTGAGCTCTCTTTCGTCTTCTATTCTGACCTAGTTGTTCCTGCTGTGGTTCTTTGTTGTACTCCTCGTCTGATGTATCTTCAGCCACAACCTCTACGTCATCTTCACCAGACGCATCGGTGTATTTGACTCTGAAAGGAATCATGAAAGTTGGTACATAATAGGAAATACCAGAGTAATGGAGATTATTGAACATTTTTATTTATTCCGAATGTGAAGCAATACAAATAAGCAGAACATTTCAATTTGGAATGATGACAGAAATAACAGAATAGAATGGGTGGAAAAAGCAGACACAAAAACACGCAATCAGAATATACAGGGTGAGAGATGATGCCAAAATGAACGTTTGTCTCTTCAACTGTCTAAGAAAAATATTTCACATAAGACCATAACTTCGTCATTGGTTGACGAATACTGAGTAACCCAAGTTTCGATTTTTTCCTTCTGGCATTTTCAAGAAAACATTTTGGGACATACCTTCGTCGACAGGAACTGTTTACTTCAAAATACAATAAGGAATCTGGAAACGAAGTTTGTGGGTCTTATTCTGACTCACCCTGTACATATACTGTGTGACCAACTTGAAAGCGGGTTACCTCCGTAAAATTGATCATCGGAATTTGACAAACTTTTTTGATGGACAAGAACACAAACACATAAATTCAGTTTGAATGTGCATACCTACAGGGTGAAGACATTATGTGACACAGATTAGCTAGAAGTTCAGAAAAAAGTAGGAAGCACGTCGATTGAGATTTTTTGGGAGCTACATTCTAATAACAAATAATTCATTTTTCAACCCCGTTAAAGAGGTGATGTATCACATCACATGAAGATTTTCTGGCAATGGGATGATATTATGTGACATCTTTTTGGAAAGCTCTTGTAATTAAAAAATCATCTGCACATTTTTTTTTTCAAAGGGTAAGTTTCAACTTGAAGAAATTAGTTAGTCTTGAATTGAAAACAAAAAACTTTCAAATTAGGCCAAAAAGTAATAGAATGATTTATTCCAAATACCAAATACATTTACAGAAGCATACATATCTTGTAGGGGTATAACTTCTTCCCAATGTTTGTATAATAATTCAATGAGCCAGTGAAACCTTATATAACAGGGCTTTCATTTCAAAACTTACCACCCTGCATATCTTCTGATCTGCGAAGATTACATTTCTGGGAAAAAAACAGGTCGATTTAGATATCGAGGGGGAAGTAAAATAACAGTATCAATTGAATGCTTTGTTCATCCCCTCCACCCCCAGACACCCCTACTTTGAAATCTCAAATGGCACCCCCTACTTTGAGATTCATAAAATTGAAGGTCTATCAATGATCAAATCAACCAGGTAAAACATATTTATTTCGTGTACAGGGTGAGTCTTGAGGTACTGTATATACTCCTACCATGAACAGAGGCCCCTGAGGGGAATGTGGAATGGCCATCTGGAGTTTTTTTTTTCCTCTTGAACAATAATAAACATAACTTTCTAATAGCTTCTTTGATTCATTTCATTTTTTCATGGAACATTATGCACTCCAACACCAATAGACTAACGTATACAGAATTGAAAAAAAAACAGGACCGTACTTGTGAAATGTTGCCAGCTATAGCACAGTGGCCCAACTCTTCGATCTGAGCAGCTTCATCAAGAATTCTTGGTCTTCATTTCATTTTTTCATGGAACATTATGCACTCCAACACCAATAGACTATCGTATACAGAATTGAAAAAAATCCAGGACCATACTTGTGAAATGTTGCCAGCTATAGCAAAGTGGCCTAACACTTCGATCTGAGCAGCTTCATCAAGAATTCTTGGTTGGATAGTTTTTTTTATTGCGAACGGATCCATTTCTGCAAATTTTCTCACTAGAACCACGACGCATTGGTGACTAATATTCTTGTCCTGATGTCTTTCATTGAACACTCTAGACATTCTTCTAGCACAGCGATTTTCAGCTACATAAATAAATATAATTCCTATTCTTTCTTGTAATTAATAAACCATTTTGAAGTATCGTTTGGTACAAGATATCGGTACTAATAACCATTTAACAGTATCTCACTGCCGAATATTCCTGATGGAGGCAAAAAGAAAAACTCAAATGTAACAAAAAGTACATCGAATATTTTTTTAATGAATTTTATAAAAAGTTTACCTATACAACATTGGCGTACTCCTTAACAATTTATTTCATTGCTTTCGATGATACCCTATAGGTGAATTGACAAATTATTCAGCAGGAACAGTGGAATTTGAAAATTGGTAACTGACCTCTTTCACAACAAGTATGGTGCTAAATTACTTCCTGGAAAATTATGACAAAAATAAAAATTTTTGCCCAATCCTATGGATCACTCTGTATATTATTGTAGCAGAGGAGGAAACATTTTGGATGGCCATGCAGTATTCCCCTCAGTGGCATCTGTTTGTGGTAGTAGTATTTCAGTTCCTCAAGACCCACCCTGTATGCGAAATAATTTATTTTTCACCTGGTTGATTTGATTATTGATAGACCCTCAATTTTATGCATCTCAAAGTAGGGGGTGCCATTTGATTCAAAGTAGGGGTGTCTGAGGGTGGAGGGGATGAACATAGATTCCAATTGATACTAGCATTTTACTTCCCCCTTGATATCTAAATCGACCTGTTTTTTTCGGAAACTGTAATCTTTGCAGATCGAAACTATCAAAAGATATGCAGGGTGGTAAGTTTTTAAATGAAAGCCCTGTATTATGCATGATCAAACCGGATCAAACATTTTTAGTATTCTTATGAAGATTGCTGCATTGTTCAAAATTCAAACTTTATTTGAATGCTCAAAAATTTTCATGTGATCAATCCAGTGACACTTGACAGTCATCAAATTATAATGAAATAATTGGGGGTAGTTTTACTCCTATGAGGAGTTCAGGATACCTAAAATGTATTTGTAATTAGAAATAAAGCATGCAATCAACTTTTGTTCAACTTTGAATATCTGCTATTTTTATTTTCAATTTAATACCACTAATGCTCATTTCTCCCAATTTTTTTGTTCTAGAACCTCTAGTAAATTTGTTCCAGCTAAAGTATCCACCCTGTATAACTAAGAATAGTTGTCTACTGCCTACTGTTTAACTACTCAAGTGGTGCATTAAAATTTTTGTAAAAAAAATCAGTATGATTTCTTGAAGTTTCACCCCCAGAAGCTAAACAACTGGTCTTGGTTTGTTGTTCAGTTCTGTGAGCTCTACAATTGAAAGAAGTCAAAATTGGCTGATAAAAAAATATTAGAGGGGTTTCGCACTTTCAAGTAAATGGTTGGTTTGTTACTTGACACCAACATTGCTATCTTCAAAAAAGGTGATAATTAAGAATGTTCACCAATAAATCTGAGAATAAAAATTCGTCTTTATAATTTTCCACAGTTGTGGAGATAGCAATAGTGCACACTTGTAATAGATTACTAATACCAACAAAACAGACAAATTATGAAGATATGGAATAATTACCTAAAAACTTAAAATTTCTTCTCAAAATCAAACTAAAATTATTCTTCCTTCTTAAGCAAGCAGGTTATGGATCAGTATTGCAACCTTCTACAAAAAAGCAGCATGAAGCAAATAGGTTATGATTTGAATTATCAGGATCACACATAAGTTAGCATAAATCAAGAGCAATTACATTACTTTTATCATATGAAATGATAATAGGATCAAAAATTAAACTTGATAAAAGGCTTGTGTGACAATTTCTACTTCAACTTATGTGAACCCCATACAACCAAATCTTGGATTGATGAAAGATACATGATGCAGAGGGAAATATTGCCAGATAACAAGCTAAAATTATGAATAATCACAATATTTTAGTGCTAAAACATGTAAAACTGATAGGTCTTAATTAAACTCACTCCATTAGCTGTTTTACAAAAATATAATGAGTCCGAGAGCTTCTAGGTATTGAGAAAACCTTTGTAATTCTACTCTCAATCCCTTTCTCTTTAATGTCACTCTCTGAGTCAAGTCTGACACAATAAAATGGTGAACTGACAGGCCCAATGACATCATATATTTCTCCCAGTGGTATTTTGGTTGAATCTTTCTCAATGAAAAGGACTGTCTCCAGGTCATAAGCTGGGGAATCTGGAGCTGATGATATTGTTACTGAAAAGAAATTATTTATGATTACTAATGTATTTCAAAATAAGTGCAATACCTAGTGCATAAATACAGTATAAGTGTCTGAGAAAGGGAAATGCACAAATCCAGCACAACTTGAGTGTCTGTATGTTGAATACATTGAAATTGATCACATATTCTTACCCACAGTATCAACTATAGAATGGACATTGCCTATGTGGAGGAAATCATCTTTGTCATCTATTACCAAATTTGATAAATCAGCTACTGGAGGAAGTGTTTCTCCATATGTGTTTAGATGATCTAATTTTTTCATCAACTGATTATTATTATTATTATTTGACTTAGTGATGGACACTAATTCTACATCAGAACTGAAAAAAAAATGAAAATTTTATTATTTTGAGTACATTGATAATGAAATATATTCCCTCATTGAACTACAACCATGATGAAATGCTGATTTCTAGAATTTCAGATACTAATAAAATACCTAATATCTTTGATATACATAATGATGAATGTTATGAGTTAGTATTACCCTTGTAGACTGGCAGGTGTGACAGATTTTTGGATGTGATTTGACCCAGTATACCTTTTGGAGGGTATCATTATGTATATATTTTACATTTAGTCATGTTTTCAAGGTGTACTTGGACATGTGCAAATGGTATATAAATTTTTCACAAATATGTATACTTCTTGAAGGCAGCCTGTTTGAAAAGGAGGAAAAATTATTTTTTCTGATCAGGCTGAAGCAACCAGTATGCCTTTGTATTTTCACTTATGCATTTCACTTATATTTCATTTTGGAACTCAGGCAGCTTGTCTGAAATCATATCAGAAAGCTCAATTTGCAAACAAATAATGTCAATTAACTTTAATGCATGAAGAACCTAGAGGATTCTTTCATAACATTTTTAACATCAAAATATTTATATTATGATACCCTTCAAAAGGAATACAAATCATGTCCGAAAATCTGTCAATACCTGCAGGTCTACAAGGGTAATACTAACTTATTTTTGGCAAATAAGTACATTATTTTATGAATTTGAATATTTTTTTTACTCACTCCACAGATTGTGATTTCTCATATTCTGTTAAATCAGATTCACTATCAGTATCACTAGATTCACTACTAGTGGTCTTTCTGGTAATTTGGGGACTAACAAATATTTCTTCAACTTCTTCAGATTCTGGATCAGACGAAGTATCAGTCCAGTCATCATCATCATCATTGTATTCCATGATATTCATTAAGGCTGATGTTTTTTTTGTAACCTCCACCTTTGATTCTCTCTGGGACTGTTTAACTTCTTTTGAATCAGTTGGTACATATTCCAGCACATTAGATAATATTGCTACATCTTGAATATTACTTTCAGGTGCAGTCTGAGTTTGATCAGAATTGTTAGGATTATCAATGTCCATTAATCCCATATTAGTTTCAGAGTTGGGTTCAACTGCCGCAGATTCATCTTTTCCCAAGTTAGCATCCATTCTCAAGCTATAGATCAGAGAAGTGTGGAAATATTTCGAAGTGCTCCAATCCAACCAGTCCAACCTGGATGATGATCAACTAAACACAAAAAATTAAAAACAGTCCTCACCTTGTAAAAATATCAAAGTGATATCAAAGCAATGAGGTCCAAATGTTAGTAATGTTATGTGAGCCAAAAACAACAGAAATTGAGAAGAAAAATAAGCATTAAAATTTTACCAAAAAAGCATGCGGCGAAACATATGAAAATATGAGGTTATGTGCGCATCGCGCACGAATCCGTTCCGTTCCGTAAATATGAAATGTTTGGTTGGTTCCTGAAAAAATGATATTTACGGAACTCGGTTGCTGAAAAAGCGGTAGATTCACTGTCACCAGAACGACCGTTGATTTTCTCTGGTTAGTTCGGTAAGCTTGAGTTGACGTTGACGTGTTTTAGTTTTCAGTTTGATTCTTTGATTCACAAATCACAAGGAAAATAATTTTTCCATTTGAATTATTGCGTGAAGTTCCGATGGATTCGTTTACTGAAGTAAATTAATAATATTCCATATATTTTTAGTTTGATGACGTTTTTTTTTCATTTTAGAAACCCTACATCCTTTGCTTGCTCTTAATGTGCACAAGAATGAGCGATTTTTGGGTGCAATAAGTAAAAATCAAATATTGGCAGAGCATGAATGTCTAAGAAACGATCAAAACTATATCTGTGACTATAATTTGACAAATGACTGGCATTCCGTAAATAAACCACAGCCGTAGTCACCACTGTCAATATTGTTGGTACTGGCCCTGAAAGCATTGGCAACCTTGGTTGATTAACGGAACATATCCCAAGTGAGCATGTTCCGATATCCCCGAACAGTACTGCCGTTGATTGATATATTACGCCGTTGATTGATATATTAAGCGTAAGCGTAATATATCAATCAACGATTACGCTTACGCTGGGAAGATGCCCAACCTGTGTTATTTGCGAGTCGATGCCCTGCTCATCCCCTCGTCTATCGTTTAGCCACTGTGAGGTAGCGACTCCACTAGGCACTCAGAACATGTCTGAACTAATTGTACAGATTACTAAACTTTTGTACAGAATTACAGATCCCATCCCACCGCATGGTCGCTCCAGACATTTTTGTTTATCCTTGTCTTCTACGATGAGAACCGACCCGCCCGACCGGTTCCGATGAAAAAATGTTTGCTACGGTCGGTGAATCCCATGGACGTATATGGGGAATCCGCATTCCCCAACAATAACAACGGGTTGCGAGTATTGATTTTTCTCTCGGAAGAGAGAAGAACATATTATGATCTCTCACTCAGTTGGGTTCCTACTCCGTGGCGTTTTTTTAAATTCCCTTGTGAATAACTTGTCATACTTTGCCCAGATCAATATATATGTATATCTGGAAAAACATCTCACGCCTTTTTCGTTGATTATTTTTTTCACTCAATTTGTATCCATATTAAAAATTTGTATTAATAACACATTACAAAATATTGATACCTAATATAATCAATCTGAATGTGATAATTTCCTAGAGTCTCATCAGTAGATAGAAAATAAATAGTCAGATATCTTTGAATCTTTGAAGGGTTCACTATAAAAATGAAATAAAATACATCATCTATAATAGGCATAATATACAGAGTGAGTCATAACTATTGGAACATATATAGAATTCATTATTTATTTATTGGATTACAAGAGTTGAAGCTGCAAGCTTATGAACCATTTTTTTCAGTATCTATAGTTGTTGAAAAATATGAATTCTTTTTTGGTATATTTGAAGAGATAAAAACAAAATCATCAGAAAACAGCTACATTTCCAGTTTATATGCAGCTACATTTCCAGTCTATATGCCACGATATATAAAATCATGAAATCGACGTTGATATTTTGTGATACCAGTAACTTTTTCTGAGTAGAATCGATTTTGCCGCTTCAGAACAACGGAGTACAGACTACGGAACGCTCAGAATCTCCGCCCTAACAACACAGGGATGTTCTAGGTAACGTACCATAGATTAACGAATGTACGTGCCCTTTTTGTCACACGGTACAAGGACATAATTGGGGTATCCAGGGGATGTCCCGCAGTGGTTGTCCAGTGGACATCCGGCTCGGTACATCCATAGGTTATCCTATTCGTTTTCCTGGAATATCTGTTATCTATATTCACATCAGAGTCATTGACTTTCATCAAAATATTTGTTGAATTTTATAAAAATGTTTGATTTTTTTCCGGTAAATAATTAATTGTAATGAAAATAAAGAAAATTGTCTCAGAACTTCTCAAGAAATTACCATTTTTCGCAAACAGAAATCGTAAATGCATAATGCCCCTCATTTTTAAACATCCACGAATGATTATAACAATACCCAAATCTTAACAAAGTTGTATTTATTCAGGTTTCTGCAGTTTAGTCCTGTTCAAAAATCGATGTTTGGTACATAAATCTTCAGAAGGCATATCAGCCAATGGGGTAAGGTGCGTGCCTGGAGCTAAAGGTCCCGGGTTTAAACCCTACTCGACCTACATTTTTGTCTTTTGTCGAAGGGATGTCCCTGGAATATCCTTGGGACCTCCTAGGGATATCCTTCCTTCGTACTTGGTACATCCCAGGGACGTACCAGACGGAAATCCCTTGGATGCTTTTTTTGTCAGCCAGCTGATTTCTCTGGGACGCCCATAGTATGTACTCTGTCCCGACAAAGGATATCTCTGGGATGTCCTTGTATAAAATTAGGGACGTCCCTGGGGAAGTCCTAAGGATGTACTTGTGTTGTTAGGGCGACAAACGACGGCTTGGCAGCCCTATCGCCGACAAACGCACCGAGTCGGCCGCCCCACAAAAGTCAAAGGAATTTATTGGCACTCCAAGTTTCGGCAATACATAGGTCGGATCATATACTTTGGATTGATAGCGGTATAGAATTGTCACGCAATATGTTCCACGTTTCTCATGTGATAAATATCAGTAATTTCAATAATAAAAATTTCAAAAATTGTACATAGCTTTGACAAGAAAATGATTTGCGACAGTGAATTATAGTTTGATTTAGTTATTCGACATAATGAAATATGAAATTCCACTCAAACAGACCCATTTAGATGCAGTTCTAGGGTAAAATACACTAAGGTCCGGGTTCGTGAATTTCAATCAAATTTATGAGCAGCTTATATATTGATATCCGCTGACCAGTTTATTCCACAATCGCCAAAAATGGAAGCATTTATTGTTGAGACATTAAATTTTGTGATTCACTCCAATTCGATTTCTATAAACTTTTTTTATGATCTCACGTCCGTGATGCGCTCGTTAGAAGCCTCAGACGAATAAAAGAAATACAACTATTACTAACAAATTCGAATTTCCGGCATATTAGTTAGAATCGTACTGATTGATCATGGATTCGATACAAGCGTTCCGGATATTGTTTAATCTATGTTTAATTGTTCCAAGTCGCACGCCATCTGCATTCCAATAGATTCTCTTCGTACGTGGCGCACCTGCCAGTCAAATTACGAAGTATTGCTCCGACATCGTTCGACACTATCGCCGCCACTATGTGAGATTTCGAACTATGGTACGCCATCTAGTTGTGAGATTTTTTTGGACCTCGTTTTGCCCCATAAGGTTGGGCATCTTCCCAGCGTAAGCGTAATATATCAATCAACGGTACTGCCCACTGCCCAGTATACTTTTGTTCCGATTTTACTGAAATTTACTGGCATATCGAATGTTTTCACCAAAGAGGAGTTTTTTTTCACATCATAGTAATAAATAAAAGCTAAAATACCCTCAATTGGCGCGGAATACAGTTTACAGAAAATCCTGAAAAAAAAAACATCATTTAAATAGCAAATCACTATATCGGCCTCAACAGTAAATGCCTCCTCTCCACAGTACTTTTTTCAAGGAGGGAGGAAAATGTCTTTTGCATAAAAAAGGAGATTACTTTTTCAAAACATTCTAACCTTACTGGGCCTACATGAACTTTCTTCCAAAAAAGTAAATTTTTAGGAAAATTACTCGAGATAACAGAATAACAATAAGCCGACCGTCGAAGAAATTGAACCCGGGTGGCCACTCGCCAGCGTGGATTCAAATGCGCCACGCAGATCCTAAAGATATATAGATAAAACATCTCAGATATATAGTATGAAGAGAGAAATGAAAGAATTTATTTATAAGTGTATGGCGCAGATACGGCCTGTTCTAGAATACTGTTCCCACATATGGGGTTCAGCACCAAAACATACGCTGATGCTCTTAGATTCCATCCAGAGAAGAGCCATCCGCTTGATGGTGGGTTTAGTTGATAGTGAGATATCTTATATTATGTCGATTGATTCGTTCAATTACTTGCCACAAATATATGAGTAATCAATAGTACCTAAAATTAAAATATGTGAAGACATGTTGAAGACACACTTGCGTATTCATTCCGGTTCCAAATGCTGACGATGACTCGATGACTGTTCAATAGGATATCGAAGCAAATTGCGGTATTTATTGTAATTCGATTGGACAAACTCAATTTTACCTCGATTGTCACCTATATATCCAAATGCGTAAAACCTCAAATTTAGTATCAGAAATTCATTAGTGAAAGAGCATGCGGAAAAATGAAAATAACTTGCGAATAATAATAACCTACAGTCGTGGCACCAAATCTTGGAAAACGAAATAAAAATGAATTGAATGTCACTTTTTTATTATGTGCATAGATGGTATCATTGGATTCAGAAAATAATACATGCACTTCAAAAATGCAATTTCTATTCGAAATTCGGAAGCTGGTATATTATTTTATTTCGGTATTTCCGGTTCCAGAAGTGAGAAGTCATTCATATGTCAAAAAGTGAGTTTAGCGAATTTGAACATAGCTTTTTCCAAATTTTAATAATTTATACTTGAAAAAAGGAAGAATAAGGGAAGTGCACCATGGGTTTGACCGGGTATTACCCTGTGAGGTGATATATAACATATATTATTCGAGTAGGTACTACTATATGACCCATTATACATACTGTCAATGATACTGTCGAAGACGCATCATAACTCAACTATATGCATGTATGTTTTTTCCTACTAACAAATAATATAATGATCGTGTCAATAATATATCAAACGAAAATAACTATACTTAGTAATGATAGTTAATATGTGCATGTATTTTGTTAAGGTGAAGTGATATTATATTATAATTTCGATCGCAAATTATTAATTCCATCTATCATAAATGGGGAAATCGAGTTTCTAAATTGAAGGATATCTATTATCATATTCTATCATATTCTGTATGTCCAGGTCCAGGATGAATGGACGGTCATTGTTATGAGAATATACTGGAGTGTTAGCTTCA